AGCTGCTTAGTGGGGTAATAATGTGGCCTTGTTACCTGTCCTGCTTAGCTGTCCCCAGTTGCTGGATTACACAGTGAGCCTGGGGCCAGTCTTAAGGGTTGGTTGTTGATCCTTCTCGCTCTCATCCTGTTTTCCTCTGCTTTCTCAGCCTGCTCAAATCTGGAGAGCAATGCAGTGGACCACTTTGCTGGGAGAGTGGAGTAACGTCCTCTGGCTTCGGAGAGCGCCGAGGTGTTTGCAGGGGAGCGTGTGGTCCTGCACCGCTCCGGATGGGCTGCCAGGCTGCCCTTCCCACTTGCAGGGAGAAGGTGGTGTGGAACGCAGAGCGTGGTAGTTTGGCCCCGACTGGAGGCCAGGAGCCCACCGAAGCCTCTCTTATCACTCCCCCTTCCTAGATGGAGAGGGAAAATATAGCGAGAGGCCTGTGGGTTAGGATAAGAGCAGTTTAATACAGCAGAAAAGCAAGGACCGTGCATGGAAGCAAAGCAAAACAAAGATTATTCTCTATTTCCTCTTCGTGGGCGATGTCCGGCTGCTTTTCCAGGGAGCAGGGCTCCAGTACGTGTAGCGGTTGCTCTGGAGGACAAACACGATCCATGAATGCCTCCACACTACCTTCTTCTTGCTTTTGTGTCTGAGCTGATGTCATGGATGTATGGAATACCCCTCCGGTCAGTTTGGGTCAGCTGGCCCAGCTGTGTCCCCTCCTAAGACTCTGCCCACCCCCAGCCCACTGTTGGGGGAATGTTGGAAAACCACAGCCTGGGTGCTGTGTGAGCACTGCTCAGCAGTAGCCAAAACACTGGGGTGCTCTCAACACCCCTCTAGTTACCAATACAAAAACGCAGCACTGTGAGCTGCTGTGGGGAGAATTTACTCCATCTCAGCCCAACCCAATACACAGAGCAAAGGCGGGTGTGAATTGGACACAAGAAGGAAGATGAGGAGAGGAAGGTGTTTCGTGCAGCAGGCAGGGTTTAAAAGGACAAGTTGCTGTGTGACTGGGCTAAAACCTGCCCCCGGGGACAGCTGGGGAGTGACACCACCGAGTGTGTTCTTGGCTGACACCCCTGGTGACCCATGGGTGCTCTGAGGAGCTCCCTGCGTACCCCAGTGAGCCCTTTGCTGGAGCGTGCCTGTGAGGGTTTGGAAGCCTCGCGAGCTCTGCGCTGCGTAGCAGTGCTCACTGGATCTCGTCATGCTTTTGGTGTCAGATTGAGCTCAGCTTGTCAAAGGCAAGTTGCTTGTCCTGCATTCTACTCTGCTTCACATCTCTCTCTGTCGTCCGCCCTGCCCCGGCACTGTTATTTGGCTGAATCCTTTTCTAAATTCATCTTTGCTTTGCTGATTCCCTGCCAGACTGCTGAGTCATGTGGTGCTACCACAGCCCCTTGCTGTCGTCTTTTCGGTGACTGAGAAAGGCACGTTTGCTGTTACCGTTGTGATCCAGGTTTCCTTTTTGACCTTCTTTGTTCGTATTGCTTAGCTCAGCTGTCCTTAGCACTCACAGAATTAAGAGTCATCACTAGAAATAGCAGTGGTAGCAACCGTGTGTGAATCAGTTGGAAGAGCTTGTATCAGAGGTACCTTAAAGTGTGTCTTCTTGTCCTGTACAGCCAGGATCTGCTGGAAGTGCACTCGGGTGCAGCTCCCCTCGGGCCCCTGCACCTGCGCAGTGGCCTGCACGGATCTACAATGGTGACTAGACCGGAGCAGGCCCAGAGTTTGTCGTCCCAGCATCTAAAATACCATCTGGAGGTGTAACAGCGCTTTTGTCTGCCGTGTTGAAGGTGCTTGCAGCGAGCGTTTGGGAGTCCCATTCCCAAGCATATGGTTACTGTCAGCAGTGTCTGGCGAGGCCGCCTGGCGAGGATCCCGCCAGTTGCCCCACCGCCGCGCTGTTTCGGCTCGGCGAGAGCGGGGTGGGGTTATGTGGGTGACTTCCAGCCAGGTTGCATGAGAGCTGGTGTTTTAACTGCTCGAAGAGGGAGAAGGTTTGCCAGGCGTGGCCGAGGTCCCAGCTGCAGAGCCGGCCCCTGCAGGGGCAACAGGAAAATACGCTGAGGAGTCCCAGTGGGAGTTGGAGGGACAGGGACCGGGGTATGGGACAGGACGGGTCCCTGGGTGACCAACGACAGGAGATGCAAAACCGCTGCTCTGCGCTTCTGCGTTGGAGGTCCCCACAGACGGGGCAAGCGCAGCTCTTTCCAGAAATGCTGGTGCCGCTGCAAAACGTCTTGGACTGGGCTGCAGAGAAGCTCGTTGCCAAGTCCTTAATGAGGCACCGGTGGCTGTTACAGACGGAGACTGGGCCGGGGTCCTGTTGCGCTTGCCTGTCTGGTGGGGGAGAGCCCCGGTTCTGCCTCTTGCTGAGCTTTCGGTCAAGAGCGCTGCTGGGGCTGGTCCCTGCCTCTGCCCAGTTCCTGGGGGGCCCAGGAGCGAGGAAGGGCCGGGTGGTGAGCTGGGCGGTGAGCTGCCCTCGCCAGCCGATCCGCAGTGCTGCCGGTGCTTAACAGCACAGGGGAAAGTGAAGCCGATGGAAACTCCGTTTGGAGGATGACATTACATTTGGCTGATTCTGCCCATGTCGGGCAGGACGGTGTTGCCGTGGGCAGCGCACACGTGCCACCCTGGCTGCGGCTTCGGGTGTGGCTGTTAATTCTGGTGATGTGACCAATGGTGGTGGTGGCTGCCAGGCCTGTCACTGAGCCGGACCGCGTGGGGGCAGGTGAGGTTGGGTTCCAGTTTACTGAAAATCCACTGTACCAATAAGAAAGCCAGAACGAATGGAAGAATTATAAATCTTATTTTTTATCCCCAGGTTGTCTAGTTAGTTCCTGGTGGTGAGAGGCTGGCGTGCCCGCAGCAGAGGTTCGGTCTGGCAGGGCTCAGGAAAACACCTGTTTGGGTATGCTGTGTGCTGCACAAAGATAGCCGGTATTCCATTTAAAAAAAATAATAAAAATGATGCTTTTGAACAGAAGGGTTTGAGTGGCGACAGGTCTGGAGCCAAGGGCTCATGTCATTTTTGGGTTTTGTTGTTTTTTTTTGTTTAAAAGGAGGCAAAACCTCATGTGCGCCAGGTTTGGTTTTGGTGGCAAAGTATTTAGTTTTGGAGGCAAATTGTTCTTTTGAGCAGAAAAGAGGAGGGGCTGGTACTGTTAAGCCTGGCCTTGATTCCTTGGCCGGAAGATCTGCAGAAGGGAAGCAGCACAGAGCAGTGACAGTGAGGGGATTCGGGCATGGACGGGACTGACACGGCCCCTCCTCAGTGAGCAGCCCCCTCCAAACCAGACACACCTGGGGGGTGCCCGCG